TCATTGACATCACCACAATCTCCTTCTCCTGCTCCAGAGATGCAAGCAATTTGGAATTTTCACCATTGCAATTCCTCGGCAGTTCTCATGACCATACAGTGATCTTTAGTCCTGCATCATCTTGCAATGTGTGGCAGCAGCTGTGTCACAATTCTCGTGCTGCAAACTCCAGAACCGGGGCGGTAGCAGAAACTTTGAGCAGGAATTTGACTCTGCGATTTCTGCTGTATGATCTGATTAAAGTGTATGGATGGACAGAGAGAGATTTGCTGAGTGGCAAAGGCCTCCCCAAGCTGGAACTGCAGCCTGAAATCTCTGAGCAAAGGGGAGATCAGTCACACAATACAGCTGCCCGCACTCCCAGGTAGCTATTGATCATCAGGAACTCCTGGAAATTGTGTGAGGGCAAAACCCACTGTGGCAGCCTGGAACCCTCTGGAATGGGTCACTTTCGATCTGTCAGCAAGTGTGGGGCAGCACGGAGGGGAGGCTGGCCCTGTGTCCTCCTCGCTGCAAGAGATATTCAGAAAGGAGCTCTTGGCCATGGCGAGATTGTCGCCCTCCAAATGAGAAAGAGAGGCGGAGGTGCTGCTGGGATCTTTGCAGATGGGCAGTTCCCAGAATTCTGCTGGCCCTGCTGTGAAGCTGGTTCTCCACCTGTGGTGCCATGGCTGCTGAGGACCACACCAGTGGGGTGGGGGGGGGCAAAGGGAAGCACTTCAACGCTCTCACACAAGGGCAAATCTCTGGAGAACAGTTTGCTTTGCTTGAATGCCACACAGAGCTTCTGCATCTTGTCTTCATTTGTAGTCTAGGGTAGGTGTTTGTGCACAATGTGAACCATCATCCCCTATTCTAGAGGACATGTCCTGGCTGAGTGAGCTGCACTTACTCTAGGGCATAGGTCAATCAAGAGACGTTCTGAAATTCTTTCTGCATTGGTGCTCAGCAACGGTTGTAAGGAAGTAAATTCTTTTATTGTTCAGCATCCATTCTTCATTTCATTTAAGGGAAATCAAGTTACACCATCCAAATCTAAAGGTCATAGTTCATTTAGGAGGATTCTCCTTAGAGTTTTAAAAGCGCCACTGACCTGACTTGGGGTAAGTGACCACCACTGTATCGTCATCCAAGAGCTGGAATTCATTCTCCACATAGCTGAGTATGTCCACTGAGTATTCACCTTCTGCAAATGGGATGCCCTTGTGGGCGAAATATGTCACTGATGACATTGCAGGAAAATACCTGCATATGAAAAGAGAGAGGAGAGAGGGGGACTACACTAGAGCACTTGTAGGCACTTCCCGGTGTTGTTTTTTTTGCAACCAGAGAAACATGCATCATGAACGGTTTACAGATGGGCTTTGACACCCTGAAAATGGTATTTCAGAACTATGTCACCAGGTGAAAATAGAAGGTCACTGTGAGAAAATTAAAATTGCCTCAGAGTTCAAGAAAAGCTACTCACAAGTGAGGGCATCCAGCCTGAAAAGGAGATGCCCAGGTTCCTATGCACCTGTTGGATCAAGTTTTTAAATGAAGTGCAGCAGGAAAAGTGATGACTGATTTTTAACTGGGACCAAAAATCTCCTTTCCCTACAACCCAAATGTTAGCCCACTCACCAAGGAATTCAGCCTGTGTGGCAAGGTGTCCACTGTCCACGACTTCTGGCTGTCGCTGCCACACTCCTTGCACGCTCTAACTGCAGCTGTCCAGGGACATCAGCACATGGGTAGTTGCTTCCTGTGTGCCTAGGATCAAAAATACGGGATGACTTAAAAGGGGGAGGGGGAGGGGGAGGGGGGAGGGGTGTTGGAAAGTGAATGTATCACTGGGTGTATTTGTTTTTAGAGTCACAGTATTGCCCTGCTGATTAGATAAATGGGAACAGGTCAAGGTGATAGGGAAGCCATGGTGCAGGTCCCTCACTGGATTCAAGCGAGTGTACACAGCAGTCTGTGTCTTCCTCTGCAGCAGAGCTTTCTAGCATCCAGAGATGTTGACCCACACAGAGGCCATCACTGGCAGTGCCAAGGGGCCTACACTGGGCAAAGACCTATGTCTGTATGCTCACCCCACCCACATGGGTCCTTGCACTCAATCTGCATCACAGAGATATGCTTGTACATCTGATGTTTTTGCAAAGCTCCAGTGGAAAAGCTCCAGTGTTTCCTGGACAAGCATGCTTACAACCCACCCCCCCCTTCACCCTGCTGAATGCGAGAAGTCCTATGATCTAGCCAGGCCACATACAGACAGGGCTCCTCTGTAGCCATCACCATAGAAGACCAAGTTCATTTCTCATTTGTGTGTTCATTCAACTTCTTTGTGGTTTCCTCTCCCTCCAGGGATCTCCGGAAAATGGAAGGACCACCTGATGGTGGCACAGAGCAAACACTTTGACCAAGTTTCCAAAGAGAAGATGGGGGACATGATGGTGTGGACGTGACTTTCTGAAGGGACTGAAGGGGGGCAGACCTTTATTCCTCACTCCTCTTGCATTTCCTGTGCTTCAGGATTGTTCTCCTCAATAAAGAGTTGCTTTTGCTTGGAAATTCTTCCCTCTTATGTGATTAGAAACAGAGCAATAAGCACACTCTTTGGTCCATTATTAGCATACAAGTATTACCTATTTAAGCCCTGTCCTGATCACACTAGAAATATCTGTATGAATGGTCCAATGCGGAGATGGGTCAGTGAATAGCCATGATCCAACAGTGAAAAGAAAACTCCTGATGTATCATTCAAAAATGAAAAGAAAAACCAGGAGATAGCAGATGCCTGTGGATGCAGTTTGAAGGAGACAGAGTCTGCTGCCAGGTAAGAGTTTAATAAGGAAGTATTGTTTTATAGGTCGTAAATAAGCCCAATTGTCAAACTGAAAAGTCTCAGTGGTGGGAGTGATTGTGACTGTGCTGGACTAAGATAGATTGTACTGAAAAATAGTTGGGAAAAAGAACTTTGAAACTTAAACCTAATTAAAGAGACTGGTTTACAAACTAAAAGTTTCAACAGCAAAACTCAATTAGATTCAGCACAGCTACAGCATAAGATGATACGATAAATAATAGTAATGGGGCTGGCTTGAGATTTGTGGAAGAAACCAAAAGTTTCATTTTCTTTTAAATTTTTAAAGTGTTCTGTGGAATAGAATCTTAAAATAAATAAAGTAGAAAGGCATTCAGAGCTAGATGGATATTTTAAAATCTATCTATTTTAAAATCTATCGCAACAGAGATTGTGATAAGGTACATTCCTGGGTATTTGATAAGAACTGTTATGTCTAAAGGAAAAGAAAACAACAAAGAAGCCACTGAGAGAACATCTGCTGCAGGACTGATGTATAATCACTTTAACTTGGTGAAATAAAACTCAGTTGCTTGATGGGGATATAGAGCTCCTTCTGCCGGACAAATACTGAATGGTTTTTTAATTTAGTGGAATACAGATCAAAGGATAAGTGATACAATTGGATTTTGAATATTGATTTTTGGGTTCTATCTTGCTGATGCCATGAAGGCAACCACATCGAAGAACCCACTCTGTCTGGACATGTGAGACAAGAAGACCATCAGTTCTGGTTCCAACCAGAGCTACTAAATTAACACATGCAGAGAGTGAAGTAAAATTGGAAGGAGCCTCCGAAGTACCCAGGATGATGGTATTCTGGGGGAAAAGGGGGGGTAGTTTTTTCTGTAGTGATGGAATTTCTGGAGGTGGGATTAAGGTAATTTTCCTTTGTTAGCTTTTCTTAGGGATGTTTTGTTTTGTTTTCTTTAAGTATATTTCTGGGTGTGCACAAAGGACAAGCAAGGATACGTGTTTTAAATGTAAAATGGTTACATTTGTAAGAATATTACCTTTGAATATGGAAGGCTTGGGGAATGTGATTAATAGGAAGAAATGAAGGTGTAAAAATAAAAATAAAGTAGATATTGTATTATGGCAAGAGACATATCAAAGAAAAGAAGGGGTCAATAAGATAAAGGTATCATGGTTGAATATTTATGAGAAAGCGTATGGAAGATCTAAGTCAAGGGGAATGGGAATTATTATATATAAAATAGTTGAATTTAAATAAATAAAGTAAAAAAAGATGAAAAGGGTAGATTTTTGACAATACATGGAGAGCTGAGAGGAGAGAACCATACATTAATTAATGTTTATTAACCAAATGAAAATCAGATGGTTTTCTTCAAAAGAAGAAATTGGAAGAAGTAAAGAAGCCTGGGGACATTGATATGGTAATGTCTGGGGACTTCAATATGGTAATGGATAACATGAAAGATAAATCAAACCCTAGTAAAGAATAAAAATATAATACTACAGCGTTGACTAAAATGGTAAACAAAATTGATTTGAAAGCTATATGGAGAGAGTTAAAGGAAAATGGAAAGGGGTATACATTTTATTCTTCAGTTCATAAGACTTATTCAAGGCAAGATTAAATATATGTATCTAACAATTTGTTACCCAGAGTGTAATGCAGATGTGGGTTCCATAACAGTGACAGATAATATTTAGTAAGCATGGATCTTAAAACTAAATGTCATTCCAGATAAGTTAAAAGATGGAAATGGATCTAAAATATATTTTAAAAGAGATTATAACAACATTATTTAAAAAGATAGGAAATCTTTTATTTAAAAAACTGGTTCCAATACAGAATAAATTCAGGGATTTGTTTATCCCATTGATTTCACATTTATATCCAATTACAGAGTTAGAAGGATTCCCAGAGATTCTGAGAAGTAACTTGAGAGAAGTAGTGAAGAGTAAATACGTTGTTAGGTTAAAAGATTGGTTACAGAAAATGAAGAGTAAAGAAATGATACAAGCAACACTGGGACAGGATAAAGTAAATTGGTATCATATGTACTTCAGTTTGATTACTGGGCTAAAGAGTGGCTGAAGAAAAA